TTTGCCTAGGTCCAAAGCCCTTGCTCATTCATGAAGACTCTCATAAATGAAAAATAATCTCCTTCATCTTTGTTAAATCACATATTCCTACAGACAAATTCTCCAAAGCTTTTGTAAAACTTAGGTGATGCTGTAATATAGTTGATTATTACAGTAGTTATGGAATATACCATTCATAGCTTTAGGCTTCACAGGCACAGTTATATATCAAGCTCTCTTGAATTCCCTCTTTGTCTAAAATCTGTGGATTTGAAGTCAGGATGTTTTCAAAAGTCCAATTTGTGTAAAGAATCCAAATAGATCAAACATTGTTTCTGTTTATATCTGTATGATAACTAATACCAATGTGTGTAATTATAGTGTAGAGAAAGCCACATAATTTCTCTGAGGAAAGTTTATTTCACTGGCAGTAGACATTACCAAGAAGCAATAGAAGTCCTAACCAGTGGCTCTTATTTTGCAATTACACTTTTTCATCTTGATTTTAGTATATGTGCAGTCAAAGCAAGCACCACTTTTTCATGTTAAGCAATGGCTAAGATTGTGTGTGATATAGGTAAAGGCTGTCATCGGATAAACAACATTAAAAAGTTATTTTTTATAGTCTTTCTGTTGTGATATTTTTAGTACCCTTCTACCTTTCCTATTCCTCCTCTTCTTCCACAAATCAGGTTTAGTATTAATTCTCTGATGCCTGAGACACTAGACACTCCAATAAGTAATACTTTAAGTCTCACCAGAATTTGAGTTTGATGATATGGTATCCATTGTGTAGATGAGGATACATCCTCTGTGAAGTGGAAGGTCATAACCAAATGTGGAAAAGTAGGTTTGTCTCTTGCTGAAAGGAAATGAACATTGAATGCTGCCGTAGGAAGCTCAAGGCTTCAGTGGAGAACCTCAGAAACCAGGTAATGCTGAGCCATGAGGCATGACATTGGTCTCTCAGAAGTCTGAATAATATGTATGAGGATTTCCCAGATTTTGAAGTCATTAGTGACTCATTTCTCTAGGATACTGATGTAAGTTGTTCAGTGGAAGACAACTGGAAAATGATTGTCCTCTTTACTGACATAAGATCTTAATAAAAGTCATCATGAAATTGACCTTGGTGGGGAGACACTGAAACAGGATCATATGGCCTGAGTGAAGTCCTAACAATAGAGAAGATTATGTACAAAGACACAAGAAAGACACAGGTAAGAAAAGGAATATCGACTGGAGTAGGGAATGCAGGAACATGTGTGAGTATGTGTGCGCATGTGTGTGTGAGTGTTTATGTACCTAGATAAGTTTAGATGAGCCTGGAGAATTAACAAGCCATGCTTGTATTTTTCAAAAATGCACTCAAGAGGAGACACAAGTTGGAAACCATTGCAGAAATACAATAAGATATAGTGGTGACATTAACCTAAGTTTATGATGATTAATTTGAAGAGAAATTCTAGGCCTTGGCTTAGAAAACAACATGAAAAAAGACTTGGTTCTTCAGGAACACAATTTCCACACACAAACTTCACTGCAAATAGAATTTGCACACAGATATATATATATATATATATATGTCACTGCTTACTTGGATGAAATATATGCATATGCTTCCATTTACAGAAGAATTCTTTCATCACTGAAAGAAAAAGTGCACTTCAGTTCTACACTACAAAGATATTTACCTACAAATTTACCTATACCAGACAGTTTTACCTGCTATTTTTGAAAGGTGAAGCAGTTGCTTGATATATTATTTTAAACTTATGAGTGCATTTTAAATTGTTATTATTTAAATGAAAATTATTTTAACTTGAACAGATATGTAAGGATATTTGATGTTGCTTGGTAGATTTTGTCATGCAGATCTATTTTGCACATGAGATTTGCCATGAAGTTGAAGCTACCTCCTATTCTGCACCTGTTTATATGATTTGGTAATAATAGTCTTTTGTAGTAAAGGTTTATGAACATGGTGAAAATTTACATAAATTCAATTGAGAGATATGATAAAATGGCATAGCTCAAGTTTCAACTATGATTTTGATAAATAGTTTTTAAACCGGTTTTTGGGGTAAGATGGAATCCCAAAGGGGTAGACAACAGTTCTACTACTAAAAAGTGTTAACATTATTTTGGCTATAGACTCCAATTTTTGCTTAACAAAATAATTGTGATAATTATTTCATTACAATTTTTATATAAGGAGAGTTACATAAATCTCCTTTCACTCAGCACATTTTTTTTTGAGATAGGGTCTTGCTCTGTTTCCCAGACTGCAGTGCAGTGGCACAATCATGGCTCACTGTAGTCTCTACCTCCTGGGTTGAAGCAATCCTCCCACCTCAGCCCCCCCAGGTAACTGGGACTACAGGAGCATGCCACCACACCTGGCGAATTTTTGCATTTTTTGTAAAGACCAGATTTCACCATATTGCCAAGGCTGGTCTTGAACTTCTGGGCTCAGACAATCCACCCACCTGGGCCTCCCAGAATGGGGAGGGATTACAGGCATGAGTATACACGTCCAACCCTATTTCTCTTTTTAAGATTAATTCTGCTTTTATTTCTGGTTGCATGTATTTTCACAAATAATTGGCATGATGTAATATTCACAATGCTTCAAAAATGTGAAAAAAGTATATGTGAATATTAATCACATAATTGATGAAATATATGAAATAATGAAGCCAAAGCTGGTCATTGAGAAATATTTATAAACATTAGGTATTGAATTTCCAGATATTGCCAAAGTTGAACATCCATGGGGCCAGTCATCAGAAATTCTGATTGATGTTTAAAAATGAGAGGAAGAAATACCCAATTAAATAGTAAATAGAAAACTGTCTAATCTCCTTCCAATGCATCTGTGTCGTCTTCTTTATATTTGTAAAGTTCCATTGCACGTTGCATCGGTGTCTTAACAGAGTCGTAAGTCCATCCCTTCCTGGTAAACAGCCTTTCAATGATGCCAGGCATTTCGTAGCCCTTGCTTAGAATGAAATCCTTAAAGGCAATCGGTCCATAAAGATTGTCAAGAATATCAGGTTCATCAGGCTTTTTAAGTAGGGGCTTGGGGTCAATCGAAGTTTCATCACTTGTTAGCTTTTCACACAACTTAGGCTTGAGGTACCATGGTCCTCCATGCCTCATCTTTGCAGGCTGTGAAAAATTCGGTGTTGTCTCCCTTTTCTTGTCCTGGTCTTTTTCCTGTGAGAATAATTCGTCCTCATCCATTTCATCTAGCTCTATGTCGTACTCAAGCTCTGTGGCACACTCTTTTATCTTCTTAATCTGTTGGTCTTCATAGGTTGGCCTGTCCCCATGGATGCAGGCATACAGACGCCTGATGCGTTCTTCCTCAATTCCCATGTCTTGAGCCCACTTGAAGAACTCACTGAATTTTCTTGGTGTGTATTCCTGTTGAGGAGAGTCAGAAACGCCCTCTGTTGTGCTTGGTGTATCTTCCTGAAGTTGTTCTTTTAGATAGGATGTTCGAATCTTTGGAAGCTCCAAGAATTGATGGGACATTGGAGCTTTGGGAGGCTCTGGGCAGAGATGAGACACTCCAATATTGGGAGGCTCCAGGAAGAGAGTGGACACTCGATGAGTCTTGGGATGCCCTGGGTGGAGACTGGACACCCGACGAGTCTTGGGATGCCCCGGGCGGAGGCTAGAAACCCGACGAGTCTTGGGAGGCTCCGGGCGGAGACCGGACACTGGACGAGTCTTGGGAGGTTCCGGGTGGAGATAGGACATCGGCGTCTCGAAAGGCCGTGGGCAGAATCTCCCACAAGGGTATATAGCAGACTCGGTGGGTCCCTCGTTTGTCTTCTCTTTGCCCTCACAAAAAGCCGATGTGTCCTCCAGCTTCTCCTCAGTATCCGTCAATTTTAGCACCTGTTGTAGGAGACTGGACACCCGATGAGTGTCGGGAGGTTCCGGGTGGAGATGAGACACTGGAGTCTCGGGAGGCTCCAGGCAGAGATGAGACAACCCAGTCTTGGGAGGCTCCAGGCGGAGATGGGACATCCGGCAGCTCTTGGGAGGCTCTGGGTGGAGATGAGACACCAGAGTCTTGGGAGGCTCTGGGCAGAGATGGGGCACCCTAGTCTCGGGAGGCCATGGGTAGGATTCCCCACAAGGGTATTTACCAGGCTCGGTGGGTTCCTTGGTTGACTTCTCCCAGTCCTCACAAGCAGCCCATGCACCCTCCAGCTTCCTCTCAGGATCCTGCGGTTTCAGCACCTGTCGTAGGAGATCTGGAGGCATATCTTCTGCCACATTGGGGTCCAAGGCCAAGGAATGCTCAGCCATCAGCTGGCCTTCCACTTCCTCTACGAACGCCTTCCGTGCTAGCTGGGCTGGCGACAGTTTGGAAAATAAGGCCGCTTCCTTGAGCTGCTTTTTCTGCCTGCTTTGTGGGTCAGCATGCGGACTTCTGCTAGAGATTTTGGGGAGTGAGAAGTCGTCCCGGCGACAAACTAGCGTATCTTCGGGAGACGGAGAGTCGTACCAGTAGTCGTCCATGCCCCCCTTCATAAATATCCAGTTCTCGGTGTCTATGGGTGGCAACTTCAGGCGCCTGTGGTTGTGTTCCCCGAAGCTCTTGGAGGGCGATGTGTCACGGTACCAGGGCGTGGAGTCCATTCCCGGGGAATTCAGCCGGTCCTGCGGCCTCTGGTCCCCCATGGTGGTCCTCGCTGGGCTGCCACCTCTCCTGCTTCAGCGGTTCCCGATCCCTGCGGCTCTGGTCGCTAGGAGACCGCGAGCCACGCACAACCCAGGTTCTTCCGGGAGGCGGGGCAGCTCTGACGTCACACGCGCAGCCCGGATACTAGCAGGTGTGTGGTGGAATCTCATTCTGGGTTTCATTTGCATTTCCTAATGACTGCTGGTATTGAACATCTCTATATTTGGTTATTTGTCATCCTTATCTCTCCTTGATTGAAGTTTCTGTTCAGATTTTCCCCATTTTTAAACCGAGTTGCTGGATATCATATTTAGTTTTGACTATTCTTGTGTTCTACTTGTAAGTCCGTTATCACATATATGATTTGCAAATTTTTCTCTTCATCCTTTTCCCTTTCATTGTCTTAACAGTGTGTTTCAAAGAGAAGTTTGTTTTTTTTTTTTTCATTTGATGAAGTCCACTTCATTAATTCCTTCTTTTACAGATTGTGGTTCTTTTGATGTATCTGTGAAAACTTTGCCTATCCAAAGGTCACAAAGACTTTTTCAAATTTAAATCTGTTTAAAGTTTTGTAAACAGCACACGATATAGATCAAAGTTTTTATTTAAAAAATGTGTCTATTCCTATGTTTATCTGGTAATTTCAGAACTATTTTTGTAAAGACTATCTTTTCTCTACTTAATTACCTTTGGAAATTTGTAGAATACAAGTGGTCTATATTTTTTTGTGGGTCAATTTTTTGGTATTCATTTCTCTTTCAGATTTTTCTCTCACACAAATTTCACCCTCTGTTGATTACTTAAGCTTTATAATAAATCTAGAAATTAGGCTGTGTTAGTCCTTTAACAGTGTTCTTTTATGAAGTTGGTTCTTCTAGGTCCTTTGAATTTCTATAGAAATTTTAAAATCAGTTTGTCAATGTCTAAAAAAAAATCCTGTTGGGATTTTGATTAGGATTCTGTTGAATCTATAGGTAAATTTGAGGATAATTGACATATTAACAATAGGAAGTATTCTGACCACTGAAAAAGGTACATTTTTCCATTTGTTTATGTGATTTTTAATTTTCTCAGGAATATTTTGTATTTTTTAGTGTATTTGTCTTTCACATTTTTTCTCTCCAGATTTTTCCTAAACATTGCTTTTGATAGTTTTATTTGTAGTATTTTTCATTGCAATTTTTAATTTTTTTGTTAGTATATATAAATAATATTTTTTGTATATCCATCTAGTATCATACAACCTTGATAAACTCACTTATTACTTCCAGGAGCATTTTTGCAAATTTCATTGAATTTTCTATATATATATGATAACGTTATCTGTGAATAAATATAGTTTCCCTTCTTTCCTTCCAAACTGAATATTTTCATCCCCTACCCTGCCCATTCCAGTTGCAATCCTTGATTTTCCTTTAAATAGCATCAGTTAAATTTTTATCTCTCTTATGGTGTTTAAAATGATACCTATGAAAAAGTTTTTTTATAAATGAATTATAGACAAATTCAGCTTGCATTATTCCTTAACCATATTATTTTCTCATCAGTTTTTTTCTGTACATTCTTATCCATTTTTAAAGAGAAGGTTTCTTACCTTGTTAGGTGCAGCTGAACAATGTTTTCTACCATTACTTGCAGGTGCATTTTAGTTTCTCCTTGTAAATGAGGCATGATCAATGCCTCTCTTCCCTTTCACTCCTTCTTTGTAAAACAGACGCAATATATATTCCTCTTCAGTTTCTCATTAAATCAAAGAAATAGATTATGTGTAAATCAAGATAATCAATATAATGTGATTTTGTATAGTGTCTGGCACAGAATAAGCATCCGGTAAAGTATTGTTATTTTATATAGTATTACTACAATTTGAAAATAAAAATATTCCACATTCAATGTATAAATAATGGAGAAGCAGAAATCATACAGATCTATTACATATCACAAATATTTTCATTTATCAATTATAAGAATCTGTTAAACTCTCAACATACTTAGTAGATTTCATAATGTGAAGTTGGTAAGACCATTTTGATATGGATTTATTTTTAACTTTCTTACTTGGAAAAATTGCATGGAATGTATGTTAAGTTCAAGAGCCAATGCTTCAACAATTCTCTGTAACAGTATTCTAACTAGCAAGCTCATATGTGTACTCACTTATCTAAAATGGGTGAGGGCTTGAATAAAACTTCTATATTCTAAATAATCCCAGAGAAAAAGACACATTGAAGCTCCTAAAAGTCAACTGGGCATCTTCAAAATGTTTCCTGTGACTGTTCATTAAAGCAGTTTTTGCACCATACAGCCACTTCATTTTTTCCATGTTTCAAATTAGAATATTATATAAAAGACTCATATCCAAAATACATAAATAATTATTAAAACTTAACAATAAGACAACAAAGAATACAAAACAAACTGTATTAATACATAATAATTTAACATGTATAGAGATATACAGCTAAAGAAATAATTATAGTTGTGTGCACATATTGGTTAGCATATACATGCATATATTCTATAGCTCTGTCTGCTGAGAAACTAGAAAAAAATGACTCATTCCTTGGAGAAATGAGTAATTCTAGGCCTGGGGCATTGAAAACACAAGATGGGGCTGGGGTATTATGTTATGCCAGAAAATACAGAAGTTCTCAGAAAACAAAAGGATGAAAGCAGATCAGAAACTAAACTGAAAGAGCACTCAATGGCCAAAGTTAAAACAATTGAAGCAACACAATAATTAAAAATTAAAAATTATAACACAGTATAAAATAAAATATCCATGAGTCCATACTGATATAAATAATTATACAAATAAATTAATGATTAAAAAAAGTACAAATCTGTCTTACAAAGAATTTCAAAAAATATATAGATACTCCTCCCTCCAGGAGGTGGAATTTAAATGCCTTCCACAGAGAGTGGGCTGGATTCTAAAAAATAGAATATGGAAAGGGAAAAATAGTGACATTTAGTGGAGAAGCCTGGCAGTTCTCTCCTTCACCAAGTGATCAAAGTTAATATCAGCAGTGAGAAGTCACGTTGGTATCATGCACTCCTCTGATAGGATGTGATGAGAAAGACACTTCACCTCCATAGTATTCTTCTCTAAATTCCAGAATTCTAGTCTAATGAGGAGAAAACATCTAACAAATCCAAGTCCGGGGACATTCTACAAAATTCTCAAGTACTCCTCCAAACCATGGGGTTATGGGAAACAAGTAAAGGGTGAGAACCAGTCATAGACTTTAGATTAAAGAGACATGAGAATTAAATTCAATGTGGTAGGCTGGGTTGACATGAGAACTAAATTCAATGTGGTAGTCTGGGTTGGATCTTGGCACCAAAAAAGGGCATGGGTGTAAACAATTTACAAATCTGAATAAAGTCTGAAGTTTAGTTAATAGTAATATGTCAATGTTAATTTTTTAGTTTAAATGCATGTACAATGTAAGATTAATTTTAGGGGAAGCTGAGTAAAATGTGCATGAAAATGCTCTGTACAGTCTTTGCAACTGGTTCATAAATCAAAAATTATTCTAAAATAAAAGGCCTCCATTTTAAACTATATATTACATCAGGATAAATTATCAGCAAATCACTATTATTTATACAAGAGAGAAAGCTGTAGCTTCTTTAAAACACATACTTGTGGCCATCCTCACACCATATATAGTAAATCACAATTTTTTCGAAGTGGAGCCAGACATCTACGTTTTACATGGTCTCTAAATTACACACACCAATATGTGAGAATTACTTTTCTAAAGCTCTGTGCCTTTTACAGGCCCCAAAGACTTTCAAAGAGTTTAAAAACCACAGTAGTTATGGTATTATCCAAAGTCACCAAATTTGGAGAAAATTAAATTTCAGCAAGTGCTACATGGGAATGTGAAAATCAGATAGTGGAGCCTGTGGACAAAATAGTTCACTTAGATAACATGTACATACCTGGTGGGCCCACAGGATAATGAAGTCATGATAGAAGAGTAATGAAGATACAAAGTTTGGTGAGTACCAACTAGGAATGAGAGCAACTTACTTGTCCAAAGAGCCCTTCTTGGGTTAAAGAAAACTGACATCACTATAGAGTACAAAGAAATTACAGCTTGCCTGTTCAGTCAACAAGCAACAACTGCCTTAGTATGAAGTGTTACTCATACTATTCAGAAATGAATAATGCAGCTTACAAGCAAAACCAGCACCAAAGAGCTAATAAATAAATGTTCAAGGAAGTCAAAATGCTCTGAGCAGAGCAGCATGTAATGAATAAGCAAACAAGAAAATGAAAACAAACAATGAAAATCAATGTGATGAAGTGCATTGGTGTAATGGAGCCTAAGTAGTCCCAGTTCTGACATCTTTGTGTGCCTCTGACTGCTCTTAGTTACCTACAACGTTTACTGCAGGCTTAGCTCAGGATCCCGTTTTCATGCTCCAGCAGACTCAAGTTATCTGCAAGTTTGCTGCCTCTTCCACCCACAGACAGCACCTGCCATCCTTCCTCAGATACCTAATCATTTTCACTCTGATCCGACCCACTTTGGAAATATTTTGCTTTTATTAGCTCTTGGTAAGTTTACTTTCTGTGATGGTTAATTTTCTGTGTCAACTTGGCTAGGTTATGGTGCCAAATTATTTGGTCAGTCAGTCTAGATGTGGCTGTGGCGGTATTTTGTAGTTGTGATTTAACATTTTATATCAGTAGACTTTGAATAAATCAGATTTACCCTCCATAGGATGGGTGAGCATCATCCAGTCAGTTGAAGGCCTTTAGGAAAAAGACAAAAGTTCTCCCAAGAAGACAGAATTCTCCCTCCAGACTGAAACACAGGAATCTGAGTTTCCAGCCATTAGAATCAAGACTGCAACATCAAC